AGCGTACTTTCTCTGGCAGGCATAAAGGAGGCACCCACTCCAGAGTGTCTGGGTCGGAGACAGAGGCTCCTTATCTTAAGCTGTGCTGATGTAGCACGCAGAGAAGCTGACAGCAAAACAACCAAGTCCATTTGTTTGACTGCCATGATAAGTGAATTGGATCAAGTCTGCAGCTAGGCTGAGGAACTGCTTTGAAAGATGTCATTAGGTTGGCCAAGAGAGAAGGATCAATGCCAGCAGCCAACCTAGTGGCTTCTTAAAGTTAAAAATAGCCATTGCATCATAATCTTTTAAAAGAGTTTTCACATCCATTATATGAAACTCTCCATCCAATGCGAACATGAAGTAGGTACTGTTTTCACTATTTCACTATTTAAGGACAAGGTCTCATGAACTTCTAAGTAGAAGAGCTAGAATTGGGGCATGGTTTTATGATTTCAAATCCACGTGATTACTATTATTCAGCGGTAGAGGAATGAAATTCTGACACATGCTACAACATGGGTGAACCTTGGAGATTGTAGAGAGTGAAATGGGAAAGATGCAGAGAACAATTTCACTTCTTTATATGTGATATCCAGAGCAGACAAATTCATAGAGACACAAAGTAGAAGAGAAGTTACCAGGGGCTGAGGGGGGGGGAGGGGAGAGTTATTACCTAATGTGGACAGAGTTAAAGTGTGGGATGACAAAAACGTTCTGGAGATTAATAGAGATGAACATTGCACAAAAATGTGAATGTATTTAATGATACTGCACTGGACACTTCAAGGTGGTTAAAAATGGCTCTATGCCTTATATCAAAGAAAACATTCAGCATTTGGTTTTTTGGGATTGGCTAACTTCACTTAGCATTATCTTCGCTAACTCCATTTTTTTACTTGCAAATGCCATGATTTTATTCTCTTTTATTGCTGAGTAATGTTCCATTGCTTATATATGTCACATTTTTTAAAAATCCATTCATCTATTGAAGGGCATCTAGGTTGGTTCCACAGTTTAGCTATTGTGAATTGCGCTGCTATAAACATTAATGTGGCTGTGTCCCTGAAGTATGTTGTTTTTAAGTCCTTTGGGTATAGACCGAGAAGAGAGAAGCTGGGTCAAATGGTGGTTCCATTCCCAGTTTTCCAAGGAATCTCCATACTGCTTTCCATATTGGCTGCACCAATTTGCAGTCCCACCAGCAGTGTATGAGTATGCCTTTTTCCCCTCATCCTTGCCAACACTTACTGTTGTTTGTCTTCATAATAGCTGCCATTCTGACTGGAGTGAGATGAAATCTTAGAGTGGTTTTTGATTTGCATTTCTTTAATAGCTAGTGATGGTGAATATTTTTTTTCATGTATTTGTTGATTGATTGTATATCATCTTCTGAGAATTGTCTCTTCAGGTCCTTGTCCCACTTATTGATTGGGTTAAGGAGGGGAGCATGGGAGGAATAGATGAACTCTAGATAGGGCAGAGGAACTGAAGGGGAAGGGAGGGGGCATGGGGTAATTAATGATGGTGGGATGTGATGATCATTATTTCCAAAGTACAGGTATGAAGACACGAATTGGTGTGAATATACTATGTATACAACCAGAGATATGAAAAATTGTGCTCTATATATGTAATAAGAATTGTAATGCATTCTGCTGTCATATATAAATTTTAAAAATTACATTAAAAAAATGGCTCTATGTGACGTATACTTGACCACAGCAAAAGAGAAAGTTTTAAAAACTTAAGTTCGCATGACTACAGCAATACTTGCTTTCTCACCACTCAATTTTTAAATCATAGTTAAAAGAATGTTAGAAATGAAAGAAGCCCTTAGTTTATAGAAGAGAAAATGAGACCCAGAGAAGGACATAGATGGATTGGGGTCCCTTAGAAAATTAGGAGGAGGGAGGCCCCATGTCCTCTAGCCTGGGTCCCTCTGTCCTTCATGAAACCTGCATAGTTGGTGCCCTTGCGGGCCCTTACCACACACCTGGCCCTGTGCTTTTGCAGGATTCCTCATCTTTCCAATCTTTAATTGAGGAGGTGCCCCGGGGCGCAGTCTCTGATCTCTTCTTTGCCTACATCACTCCCTAAATGTGATGGAGGTCAGCTCCATGACTTTCTCCTAAATTTCCCTCTCCAGCTCTGATTCTCAACATCTCCCCACTTGGAGATGCTAAAGGATTTCAAATTTTATAGAACTCAAACTAAACTCTTGATTTTTCTCCCCCAAACTTGCCCATCCTGCAGTGTTGCCTGGGTCAGTGAATGATAATCTCATTGCCGTTGCTTGGAGTCCTCCTTGGCACTTTTCTTTCCATCACAAACATTCTATAAAATCCTTTTGAAAACCATCCTGTGAGTCTGCTTTAAAAACACATCCTGAGTCTGATCATCTTTCACCCTCTCCCCTGCAGCCATCCAAGTACAAATCACCATCTCATCTTGGCCAGATTGTCATGACAGCCTCCTGGGGTGGATGCTGCGATGTACTAATCAGATCTTCTTCAGGACTAAGCTAAGCATTCCTCAAGCTGCTGGGAATGTTGGCTGCTGGAGGCTTGCAGTTGCATCTCTACTTAGGAATGGCCCTTAGAAAGAAAATGCCTTTCCCAAGGTTGTTCTTCACATGAGACAAGTCCCAACTTATTTCAGGTTTCTGTTCAAATGTTTTCTCATTACAAAGGCCAACCTTGACCCCACCTTATGCAAAATAATAATCCCTTTTATTCTCTATCTCTCTTACTATGCTTTAATTTTTTCCTTCATAGTATTTGTCAGATTCTCATACATATTTTCTTTCCTATTTGCTTATTGTTCTGGAGTTAAAGCTGTAAAAGAGCAGGGTGTGTATGCATCTGTGTGTGTGGTGTGCATGCACACAGGGGTACACATGTGTTCGTGCAAGCATGCCACTGTGTAGCCCCAGCAACCAGAACATCGTCTGGTGGCACATGGTAGGAGGCTGTCTTCATTTTCTGTTGTTGCTGTAATACATTGCTGCAAAATTAGTGGCTTAAACAACACAAAATTGTTATATTGCTCTGGAGGTCAGAAGTTCAAAATGGGTCTCACTGAGCTAAAATCAAGGTATAGGTTGGACTTTCCCTTCTGGAGGTTGTAGGGGAAAATATTTATCTTGCCTTTTCCAGCTTCTAGAGGCTTCTGCAATCTTTGGTTCAGAGCTGTTGTTTTCCATCTTCAAAGTTATTAGCACAGCATCTTCAACTCTCTCTGACTCCGAGTACTCTCCTGCCTCCCTCTTCTACCTTTTTTTTTTTTTTTTGACAGAGCGAGAGGTACTGGGGATTAAACTCAGGAACACTCAATCACTGGTCCCATCCCCAGCCCTATTTGTTATTTTATTTAGAGACAGAGTCTCACTGAGTTGCTTAGTACCTTGGTGTTGCTGAGGCTGGCTTTGAACCTGTGATCCTCCTCCCCCGGTGTCCCATTCTGCTGGGATTACAGGTGTGCACCACGGCACCTGGTTCCCTCTTCTACTTGTAAAGATTTTTGTGACTATATTGGGCCCACCCAGATAATCCAGAATCATCTTCCTGTCAGTTGATTAGCAGCCTTAATTTCACCTATAATCTTTATTCTTCTTTGTCATATGTCCTAACATATTCACAGGTTCTAGGGATTAGCATATATGTATTTTGCGGCGGGCGGGGGGAGGCAATATTCTGCCAACCATAATATTTAGTCAATATTTGATAAATGAATGAATGAATGATTATCTATTTCACTCATTCAGCAATTTCTTAAAATCAATGCTGTTAGATGAGAGAAATGGAGCTTGGAAGTTTAGGCCACTTGCCCAGGTTATCCTGTCTCATAAATGAGAGTACAACTCAAACATAGACAGGCTGACTCAAGTCACTTGGCTCCACTTGCTTCATTGTCCTAGAGTTAGCAGCTCACAAATCTGCCTCTCTTAGGCTCAGAGATCCAGAGGACAGAGACCATAGCTTAGCATATTTGCAACCCCAAACAAAACCCAGCTCAGGACCTAGAAAATAGCAATAATAATAATAGTAACAGTGGGAATTCATTGAGCAGCTGGCAAGTGCCAAGTGTTGTTATAAACACTCTACCTGTGCCCCAAAAATGTACTAAGTAAATGTCGAGTAGATAAAACCAGCTCTTGTCACTAAATCTGAAAGGCCGCATTTTTAGCCCTAGTACTCAGTTCTATCCTAAATGTGCAGATTAAGTCATATTAAATTGGAGAGGCTCTAAAACATCAAGTGTGGTTTTATTTCTGTCTTCTGGTCTGAATCCAGAATCCCAAGTCATTATCAATCATTCTGCCTAATGAATGAACATTCACTGTGAATAGATGTATCCATTCTAGATTAAGACTTTGATTTGACAAACTAGAAAATAGTGACTAACATATGCAGAAGGCTTTAATTTCCTAAGCATTCTCATAGATACATTTAATTTTTGAAACAACGGTCTACATAGAGGAAGAATATATTATTACTCACATTTTGTGATAGAACCATCTAGGCTCAGAAGACCTAAATAGCCTGCCTAAGGTCACCCAATTCAAAATGCCTGCTGCCCAGATCTCCCAGCTTCTAATTCCACACTTTTCTACTGCACAATCCTGCCATGTAGAACATGATTGGCATCTTAGAAAGGAAATGGCCATGCAGACTGGCAAGGCTCAGCTCCCATGTGGACCCACGGGGTCCATGCCAGCTTCTTTACTCTGGTTTGCTTACTCTTTCAGATCTCCCAGCTCTCTCAAATATGAGATTTACAATTCTTAGTCTGCACAATGAAAATCCTAAGAATTGAAATCATTTCACAAAGTGAAAGAGCAAGTGGGGATAATTGTCATTGGGATGGATTTTTACCTGTCCTGCAAAAATATATTTTTTTACTAAATATAAATTCTGCATCACATGGGATTCAGAGGGTAAATTTGGCAGGCTTAGGACATGTCTATTCTGTTTTCCTTTTATCCACTTTTCTAAGCATCCTTTCTATTTCCACAGTGCTTTGAAAACGGTGGAAGAGAACTCCAGGCTGGGGGATAAAGAGAGAAAGAAGAATTCTCGAGTTTCGGAGCTTGGTTAACCTCTTTTCTGTGAAATCTATGTGTTCTTTTGTGCAATAATGAAGAGATGGGGGGAAAAAAAGAATTGTCCCCACATTATCTACCACTAGGCCAGCCAAAAGGACCTCTGACTCAGGGAGCAAAGTGCACCCTGGAGCAAAGTGCACCCTGCTACAGGCTCAGTCCCCTCTCTTCTTCCCTACCAGATGGTGCTCTTAGCACTTGTCCATGATTTGGGGGTCAGGAGCTGCCACAGAAAAAATACAGAAATCATGGGGTCAGCGACCCAAATACAAAAATCTATTTCGACTACATTTTAACTACTCAACTTAAAGGCAATAGCACAGGAGAAAGAAGCTCTGCTGTTGAAATCAATGAATGAATCTTCCAAGTCATTTCTAGGCTACATACATACTGAATTCCTCACTTTGCCAAACATCCTACAAGGTTTGGTGTTCCAAGAGACCATGGGATTTCTAAGTCCAATCCATTCTGCTACTCTAGCCAGAGAGAACTTTCCAAAGCACGGATTTCTCCCCTTCCAATCTGTTTTGCATATTGCCACCAAAGTGATTTTCCTAAAACATGCACCTATTCATTTGACAAGTATCTATTTAGTTGCGGTTAGGTGTCAGGCACTTTTCCTAGGCCTAGTGAGTGCCTGGTGAATAAGGCAGGAAGTACCTGCTTTCTCCTAAAGGGAAGAGAAGATGCTAAAACAACAGACATTATTTCAAACAAGTAACAAATAACAACATAGAAATCAAAACAGAGTAGGAGTGATGAAGAGGTAGGAAGTGGCTTGGGTGGGGTGGGATGATCATTTAGATGATAAGTCATATTGGAACCAAGACCTTAGGGACAAGAGTGAAATTGGCTGTGCCAAGATCTGAGCATTCCAGACAAAGGAAAGAGGAGGTTCCTTAGATAAAAATAACCCTGAGTATTAGAAGAACATAAAGAAGCCCAGGAGACTGAAAGATAGTAAGGGGAAAAAGATAGGAGTTGGGACCAGATAGTGAGGCCAATAGAGTTGGCTCCCTAAGAATGAAAATAGATTGGCTCAAGACATATTTTGGAGGTGGAGCTGTCAAAAAGTTGATGTGAGGAGTTGGGAAAAAAAATAATTGAGGATGACTCTGGGTTTTTAGCTTGAGCGACTGAGTAGATGGCAGTACCATTTTGAATGGGGGCAGTAAGGGAGGCCAAGGAGGTAGAAAAACAAGTGTTCTGCTTCAGTGTGCTCCATGCAAAGTATTCACCAGATGTGCAAGTGAAAATGTCAGGTAGACAACTAGACACACAAATCCAGAAGGAAACAGAAATTTTGAACCAAAGATATAAGTTTAGGAGTCATTGGTTTATGTACCTGTTTCTTGAAGCTATGAAACTCCCAGAGGAAGGATCAAGGAGAGAAGAGCAGAGCCCTGGGGCAGCCTAGCATGCAGTAGGCGGGCAACCAACAAAGGGTAATAAGAAAGATTTGGCCAGAGAGGTGGGAAGAAAACAAGGACAGTGACACCTAATAAACCAGGTAAGGACAGTGGTCGAGGAAGGAGATATGAACCATGCCGAATGTCACTGAGCAACTGAGTCCAATAAAAAAAGAGAAGTGACCAATGGACTTGGCAAAAGCCTGTTGAGGTAAGCAGAACTGACCATTGTCCTGGTGTCTTTGTGGTCTGTGGCCTGTCCCTTTGCTGCCCCCATCTTTCAGGAGCCCTCCTGCCCTCTGCCTCCGTCAGAGCCAACCAGGGAGGCACAGATGGAAACTACTTTTTCCATCTCACCTTCAAGAGGAAGCAAAAGGCCTTACCCCTCTTAAAAGAATTTTCAAGTTTGCATAAAAAGCAGGAGAGACTGAGATAGGGTAGGAAGACTTTCTCAGGCTCTGAACTTCAGCCTTCTCCCTTTCTGGTGCAATGGATCCCTTAGAGAGCACCACTGGTTGAGTTTAGATGTGATGGGTAGAGGCTATCTATCTGCAAATCCCCCAGGCTCTGGCTCTCTCCTGCCCAGTGCTATGGACTCACTTGTCTGACTGGCTTCTCTCCCAACTTCCTGCCAGGCAAGTGAGCACCTGCTGCAGATCCTAAAGAGGTGATGGTTCCCCCAGGTCAGGGAGGGATTTCCAAGCCAGGTGATGTTTGAGTTCATGTTTTCAGAAAAAAAAAATGAGTTTACAGAGTGATAGAAACCTAAGGATAGAGGGCAGGTAAAGAGGGAGAGAGAAGGACATCAAAGGCTGAAACAAGAGAACCTAAGCAAAGGCACAATTGTGAAAAGACATTGGTGTGTCCTGGAATGATGGAGCTGGTTGAATGGTGCACCCCACCCCCACCCGTGCCCAACGCCCGGAACGTGGGAATGTGACCTTATTTGGGAAAAAAGTGATCTTTGCAGGTATAATTAAGGAATTCTGCGCAAATCATCCAGGATTATCCAGGTGGGCCCTAAATCCAATAGCAGGTATCCCTAAAAGAGAAAGGAAGAGAAAGATTTGAGGCTGAAGACGGTAACACAAAGGAGGTCATGTGAAGACAGGAGCAGAGACTGGAGAGAAGCTGCCATGGCTGAGAGATGCCTGGAACAGTCAGAAGCTGGAAGAGACAAGGACAGGTTTGTTCCGAGAGCCTTGAGAGGGAACATGGCCCTGTGACCTCGATTTCAGACTTGGGGTCTCCAGAACTAGAAGAGAATAAAATTCTGCTGTTTAAACTACCACATTGGTGGTGATTTGTTTTGCAGCAGACCCAGGAAACTCGAACAAATGACCCAAAGTCACTGTGGCACGAGTGCAGGGTGCTTGCCAGCAAGCACCAGCACCAGCACCCCGCCCCCGCCCCCATCTATCAGACGTAGGTGGGTCTCAGCCATGTGTCCTCTTTTCCAAGCCAAGCCAGGCTTGTCGGAAGACACCAGACACAACCACAAGGTCTCTGAAAGGGCAAGGCCAAAATGTGCTGGTGGAAAGAAAAGTCCTGTCCTCTCTAGGACTCGAGATGGGATTAATTTATTCAGGAGACAGATTAAAAACACCCCTGGCTCGCTTTGGAGAGGTGCTTACCTCTTAGGTAAGTGTGAAGAAGCCCACGGTGGCTCCCTCTGGAGGGCATCTGATTGGGACTGCAGACCTGCAGCCACCCAGGGAGCAAGAGCCCACCCTCCCCTCTCACTCCAGGGCCTGCCAGAACCCGAGGTGCTGAAGGCATCACTCACGTTTGCAAGATGCCGAGAGAGCAGAGGCAGAGCCGCCTCCTGGGTAGAAGTGTCCAGTGAGGCCCTGACTCTGACGGACTGAAGAGGAAACCATGGGGGTGAAGGGACTTGACAGATGGGGACCTGCTCAGCAGTAAAGGGAGACACCCCCATTAGGTATGTCAGGTCTTTCCTCATGTGGCATAAAATGGCCACAATACGGTCCTTCAGAGTTTGTATCTTGCTACTATATGTCCTTTCCTAAATCTGGTAAAGAACGTCCTAGAACCACAGCTGTCCAGCTGATGGGCCTGGTGGGGCAGCGTGAGGATAGCCTATGGGCTTTCCTATGCAAGAGAAGTTAGGCTGGACCGCGACAGCAGCAGAGACCCCACCCGAACCACGCTACGAGTTAAACCGAGGTACTGAGGCTTCTCAGCCAGGAAGGGCAGATTAGGTTTGCTTTTTATAGAGATCATTCTAAGAGCAATGTGGAAAATGGAGTGGATGGGAAGAAACTGGTAACAGAAGGATCACGTTCCAGAATGTTTAAATAACAGTCCAAGAGAAAGATGAAGGAGACCAGATGAAGGCAGAGGCAGTGTGGGCAGAAGCACCGACTGGAGAGGGGGCTCCAACTTGGGACACCGATCAGAGAGCTGTTCTGCGAAACCCAGATCTGGATGGAAGACAAGTGGGAGAATTCTCTACCCGGTTCCTGCTCTCAGAAAACCTGGAGATGGGGGCACCAGGGCTTCTGAGGAGTCAGGAAAATCCTGCACACTTCTTTGTGGGAGGCTTTTCATATTTTAGGTAAAAAAGAAAGAAATGCAAAAAACAGGACCAAATAAACTGTGGTGTAGCTTGAAATTTTTACTTCATTAAAATTATAGCCTTGAAACCACAGGCACAATGCAATGTCTGTTTACTCTTCAACGAAAATCATAGATCCTCCCCTTTTTAAAAAGTATTAATCGTGAATGATAGGATAGCATCAGGGCTCCAGGTCCATAAACAGACATAGTTTTCAGTGGTGTGGAGGGTCTTCTCCGGGCTTGGCAGTGCCTCCCTGAGACTGTGCACAGCCCCAAAGGGAGAAGAGGTTAAAAATAGACATTGGAGGCCAATGAATAATGCAAGGCCAGAGCATGTGGTCCTCTGTGACGGACACTGAGGCCTGGTTGTAAATGAGCTGAGAGGTGAACCTGAACCCCTGCCCAAAGAAATAAGGAATCCAAAGGCGCTTGCTGGAAAGAGCTGGAAGCCAGAGAGATCAGGCAGAAAGGAAAAGCTAGAGGCAAAGGGGAAGAGCCCTGAGCATCCCCAAGCCCTCCAGCTGCCTGTCACAGGAGTCCTGAGCAGTAAGAGGAGAGCCTGGAGCTGAGTTGCTCCCAGTCCCTCTAGGTGCCTGGGCTAGAAGAAAACCACATTTTATGGGGACCCAGGGCTTCCAATAGGGAGTAATTGGTCTCCTTCCCATAATACTTGTTTGAACCTTAGGTCCTCCATCATGACTTTTCCTGATTAGGATTCTGACACACATGTCTATCTATCTATCTATCTATCTATCTATCTATCTATCTATCTATCTATCTATCTATCTATCTTAAATTCTTTTATTTAAATTAAATATATGCATATATATTTTAAATTCTCTTATTCTTTTTTCTCTAACCCTGGCACATATACTACAGAGCAGTAGAGAATAGTGAGAAAGCATGGGCTTTGAGGTAGCACAGAGCTAATTTCAAATTCTTGAGCATAGCAGTACATTATTCAGAGCCTCAGTTTCTCTAGCTGTAAAATGGGCATGACAGTACTGACCTCATCTCATGAAGGTTAACAGATAATTGTTGTGATCTCAAAGCACCACAAGCACCACCCCACAGTCAGATCTTCCATATTAAATTGGTGTGGGGAACTCCCTCTGGCCCAAAGCCCAAGCCTAGGATTGTAGCCACAGCATTATGACTTGCAGTGCAAGGCTCCAAGCAGCCATGGCCCTGGAACCGCCTGCTCCTTGTGACTCAGCCCTGTGGTGTGCCTTTTATCCCAGGTTCTCTTTTCCTACACCTCCTATCCCTTGTGTTGCTCCATGGCCTAATTTGGACTTATTCTTCCCACAGGCCTTGAGAACCATCCTAAGTCCACACCCTCAGTGGCCCTCCATGGTCACATAGGTTTTTGCTTGGCCACTGACCAGGCTAGTTATTTTCAAAGCCACAAGGCACAATCCAGTCACAATACACCCTCCTCCAGGAAGGCTCTGGATGCCCCGTATACTCTGAATTCTGATTCCTGGTGCCTCCTCTAAAGGCCGGGGCACTTTGGGCTTTCTGTGATAGCGATGTGAATTCAGACATTTCCCCCACCAGACATGAGCGTCTTGATTTATTTGTGTGTCTCTTCTGAGTGCCAGATGCATGCTCGACATTGTTAACTGAATCTATAACAAATCCCCCCACTAAGATTTTCTATTTACCAATGATACCTTTTTCCCTAAGCAGTGCCAGTGCTTTACAGCAGAGGTCAGAAAACTACGGCCCACCCCCGGTTTTTGTAAAGGGAGTTTTACTGGAACACAGCCATGGTCATTTATTCGGCCTCTATCTGTTTTCATGCAGCAGTGGCAGAGCTGAGCATTCGTGACAGCCTGCAAGTTAGAAAATATTTGCTATCTAGCCCTTTACAAAAATTTTGGTCAACCTGTTTTATATCAAGGATGGCTGAAGTTTCTTCATGGACAACACAGGGATAATAACCAACATCACAGAGCTGTCATGAAGATCCAAAAGGACCAGGCATAGAAACCATTCTGTAGGTGGCAGCCACCCTGCTTCCCACATGGGGTCAAAGTGAGGCTCGAAATCTCAAGCGGTCATGGCAAAAGAGTGAGGATTCAGCCATATCTCTGGTGGCAGGGGTGTGTATCTCATCTAAGCTGATATCTGGTAAACAAAAAGCGTCACATAAACATGGAAATCTAGTGTCTGCGCAAAGTGAACCAAATTCCCTGCTCCCTGCCCTGGGGTCTCCTAAAAGATCTGGGGTGAATAGTACTAGAACCGTAAGTACTAATGCTAGGGACCTCCCCATATAGCGTTAACTCAGGTGGAGCTATGATTGCTGGAGAGAACGGAACAGACCCCTGAATGCTCCTGTTCCTCATTTATGATAAATGCTCTGAGAAGTAAGGAAGTTCCTTAATTAATGCCATTGGCGGATTTGCATAACTGCTGGCTATGGTAGATAAGAGTGATTTTTTACTTGATTTGACAGGGCTAACATGCAAAACCTAAAATATTTTCAATCAGCCTCCTGGCTAGTTATCAACATGGATCTTACACTTCCTAAGGTGGGCCTCTGAGTCTCCAGTCTCAAGGAAGTGGCACGTCTACAGCCTAGGGGGAAGGGTGGGTGATGGGGTGGGCAGGCTGGGGCACAGCCCTAGGCTTTTCATTGCAACTGAGCTGGAAGAGGAGCTCATCAGGAGGAGAGAGCCAGGGCTCGTATTTAAGGCTACACTGGCAGTGAGCTGCCAGGAGCTGGGAGGGTGGAAGGGAAGCTGTCAGTAGACATCTCCCACCAGCAAGTTCCCAGAATTGTGGACATGAAGCCCTGCTGCCTATGTCAAGCAGGGTTGTTTCATTCACCTTAATGAGATACGAAGTCTTTTCCCAGAGGGGGGAGTCGTATGCCAGGGAGTCACATGTCATGATCTGCTCGGGGACCTCCTCACACCCACTCCAACACCTACACTGCAGGCACCTCTCAGGCCCAGAAACAAAACGCCACCATATGTGGTCCCCTACCAGGGACACACACAGATTGAATCCCAGATCCCAGCCCTGCAGTCTTCTTCCCTTCATGCTCCCTGGGCCCCCAGTATAAACTGCAGAACCGAGAGCTGCCCCTTCCCATCCTAGTGCCCGCTGTGAAATTGGACCTGTGCTTGGACAAATCGGAGATCCCCCACCAGGAGACCCCCAAAGCCTATTCCACAAGTCACTGACACATAGGTACTGAGTCCCCAGGGTGCAAAATAGAAGGAGGTGCACATGCTCAGGGTCGTGCTACCAAGCTGCTGTGAGGATTATATACAGAACTATACGTGAATACTAAGAAACAGAGCCCAGCACACTGTAAGTGCTATAAACATATTCAGTGATGTTATTAGTACTAGGAATACTAGCAATGGTCATATTGGAAGAATCTCTGCTCTTTCTTCTTCTAAGTAGAGATTAAATTCAATTTTGTCCATGAATGAATGGTGAGATTTACTGTTACAAGAGTGTGAGCTACTGTGTTTCCAAAGGCATCTTACTCCTTTGGAGGCTTGAATTGTCCCTAAATGAGGGACAGTCAGCTCTGTCCTATTCCAGGCCACACATAACCCTCTGACCTTGCCCTGCCTATCTTAAAAGCTAAGAAGCTAGGACTCCACGATGGAGCTAACAGGAGCCACTGGAGGATTTTGAGCTGGAAGTGATACCTTGAGTCTCTGCTGGATGAAGATCCCTCTGATGATGTGATGATCTTGGACCATGTAGGGCCAGGACTGGAGGCTGGGAGGCCCGTGAGAGGCAAATG